AGGCAGGCAGGCAGGCTCTTTGAGGACAGGTGAGCCAGCTAAAAGCCTGGGGGGTCTCCCCGACAGTGATCCGCTTCCTGGAGGTCTACAACCGCAGCGTCTGCCAGCCCAAGGAGACGATGGTCTCGGTCACGGCAGAGCATCCGTCGCTGGGCAGCCACATCATGATCCCATCCTGCGTGGCCCTGAGCCGCTGTACCGGCTGCTGTTCCGACGACTCCTTGAATTGCGTGCCCAGCCGTTCCCGGGAAGTGATTTTGGAGGTAAGAGGGGGGCAGAGGTGGGTGGGGGGACGTTTAGGAAGTGGGGGGAGAAGAAAGCCAGCCAGCATGTATTTAGCACTGAGTCCTGGACTGAAAGAGTGAAGATCAACTTCCTGTTTTCTAGGTAATGGCTAGCCTCTTTGCAAGCAGATATATAACCCAGCTGACTTTTGAAGAGCATCTGGAATGCATGTGCAGGTAAGACTTTGGGGTACATATCCAAAATGTATCCTAAAAACATTTATTTATAATTTACAATTGTAATTATTATAATATGTAATTTATTTATAATTTTATAATTATGCATGCGAGACAAACTCATGTGTCCAGTCACAGTTTGCCAATAAAGAATTCTATTCTATTCTATTCTATTCTATTCTATTCTATTCTATTCTATTCTATTATTCTATTCTAATTCTGTTCTATTCTATTATATTCTATTCTCTATTCTATTCTATTTTCTGTCCTATTTTCTATTCTATTTTCTATTCTATTCTATTCTATTTTCTATTCTATTCTGTTTTCTATTCTATTCTATTCTATTCTATTCTATTCTATTCTATTCTATTCTATTCTACACGAAGGCGCATTCTTTTGTAAAATGAACGTTTAGAAACCCCATTTAAGTTTGCATTCTCCAGAAGCAAAGCGCTCATCTCTCCATTGTTTTTTAGCCTAATAACATTATTAAAAAGTTAAATACAGATAGTCCTCCACTCACAACAATTCATTTAGTGACCCTTCAAAGTGACGGCCCTGAAAAAAGTCACTTAGGACCCTTTTTCATACTTAACAACCGTTGTAGCATCCCTACGGTCACGTGATCAAAATTCGGACCCTCGGCAACCGGTTCATACTTATGACGGTCGCCGTGTCTCCCGGGGTCTCGTGATCCCCTTTTGCGACCTTTTGATGAGCAAAGTCCGTGGGGAAGGAAGCCCGATTGGCTTAACGACTGTGTGACTGACTTAACAGCCGCAGGATTCACTTCCCAGCGGCGGCAACAGAGGTCGTAAAACGGGGCAAAATACACTTAACAAACGTCTCACTTAGCGTCTCGATTTTGGGCTGAATCGAAGTTGTAAGTCAGGGCCTACCTATGTGTGATTAATACATGATTTTGGGTAGGAAGTTTTAAATTTCGTGCACCATTTTTCAATCAACCGTGCTGTGCCGGGCAATAAAATGGGGGAAAAAAAGGATTATTCTGAGTTCTTATAGAATGAAGGGGCAGAAGGTTGCTTAAATTCTCTCCCTGTTATATACGGTGCCTTAATAAAAGAAACCGCTTAAAAGAGTTTTGTCCACTGGTGACAGCAAGGAATCTTTCTGATGTAAGTAGGCCAGGCAATCCGTGAAAAGTGCTTTCAAACTCTTCACAAGGTTGGATTTACATGATAAAAGAAGCAATGGCTGGAGGCATTAAAAGGGATGGATTAACTTCAGGATGAGTGCTTGGAAATTCAGCAAAAATTCAGCTGTCGGGCCGGGGAATGCCTGCCGGCTCCCAGGGGATATTATTATTCTGTTCAGAGGATAAGATTTAGTCACCTGGTGGTGTCTCCTTCCTATTTACACGTACTGTATCCTGGTTTCCCATGGGCTTGGATGTCAGAATTCTGCCCGGCAAAACTTTGGCGTTTATTTTAAAATGGTCCGTTGCAAATCTTGGGTGGAGACTGCAGATCGAATTTCTTTCTGAGTTTTCTTCAAGAGGAAGCGGTGCTGAAATGTTTTAAATAAATAATGATGATAAATGTTGATGCACGGGCCGCTAAATCTCGGTATGTTCCCTTCAGCAGTCAATAAATCTGTCGTTTTTCTCTTTTGTTTTTCAGGCCGAGGACAGTGTTTTTCAGATCTAATTCAATTAGGTAAAAGATTCCTTCCTTCCTTCCTTCCTTTCCTTCTCGCTTCTCCCTTTCT